CCTTTGTCCAGAATGATACCGAGATACTTAGCGGAGGATTCCCATGGTATACGAAGTCCATTCATTGAAACTTCAGACGGAACGCCGCGACGTCTTTTTGTACAGTAGATTGCCTGAGTTTTCGAATGGTTTATTTTAATTAGCCACCGATCCGCCCAATCTAATACTTCTTCCACCGCACTTTGCAGCCTGTCATGGACTAGGTCACCAGACCACGACTGAGCCACCAATGCAGTATCGTCAGCATAGAGATAGACTTCACAGTTGCTGGGACTAGGGACGTCATGGATGTACAGTGAGTAAAGGATAGGTCCAAGGACCGAACCCTGAGGGACGCCGGCTGTAATCAGCCGTGTTGTCGACAGCACATTGTCAATTTTGATCCGAAATTTCCTACCTTCAAGGAAGGATTTCAGTAGTTTTAGAAGCCAAAAAGGGAAGCCCTTTTGGATTAGTTTATACAAGAGGCCCGCGTGCCACACCTTGTCAAATGCTTTTGAGACATCCAAAAGCAAGATGCCAGTACTTTCGTTAAGGGTGAATCCTCTGGTTACACGTTCCACCAGCCTAACCGCCTGTAGCTCCGTACTATGTTCAGACCGAAAACCGAATTGCACGTCAGGAATCACATGGTGATCTGACGAGAAATTCTCAAGGTGGTGTAGAATCACCTTTTCAGCGAGCTTAGACGCAGCTGACAGCAGGCTAATGGGACGATAATCCTGGGGAAATATCGAACCCACTTTCTTTGGAATCATTATAACTTCAGCGGTCTTCCACGCGGATGGGAAGTACTGGATCCTGAGCATGGCATTGACTATTGCCACGAGATAAGTTAAGGACTTCCGCGAAAGCAGCTTCAGCGCCTTATTAGTGATTTGATCCTCCCCAGGTGCTTTACGCACTTTAAGGTCTTTAATATGACCTTGAATCTCTGCTGGTGTGCAATGCGGGATCTCAGGAGATACCGCTGATGTGCTAAGCAAATCGTCGGTTGAAGAAGCTTCTGAAGAAGAATCTTCTGATGAAGAAAAATCACCAACGAATGCTCGACTGTCACTGACGCCGTTGGCCCTAAAATCTCTCCTGACAGATCTTACGATGTGTTGCTCCTCATTGAGGTCATTATCAAGATCATAGTTGGGAGAGAACTGTCTTTCCATGGCATCGGCGAAAACCTCAACCTTCTCCTCTGTCCTGAAGACAATGCCTCCAGGACCGTGAATGTGTGGGATTTGTTCACGCTTTCCGTTTTTGAGCGACTTCGCCACCTTCCAGAGAGAAATGCTTGAGTCAAGCATCCCCGCCAGAAAGTCGTTCCATTGCTCATTGCGGAATTCATGAAGAGCATTTCTTACTTCATGAACAAGATTCGTCGCTCTGCGAATGTCATCAGGATGACAAGACCTTTTCGCTTGCTTAATTGCAGCTCTTTTATCAGAAATTTTCTGACGAATGTCTGCTGGCAGAAAAGGTCTGCCGTGTCGCTGCACGGGAAGTACACCTGCACGCTGCAGAGTTTGCTGAACAAAACTTGTCCACTCTGCTTGAGCCGCATCTATACCGTTCTCATCATCTATGATCGGTATATTGGGGAACTCTTTGAGGAGCGACTTGTATAGCTCCCAATCAATGCGTTTCCTTGGAGGGATTTCATCCCCCAAGATCTGCTCATTAGCCACTTCCAAAACGACGGGAAGATGATCGCTTGAGATGTCATACATGATTCGAGAAGTGATGCTGTAGCTACAGTTTTTGGATAATGCCAAATCAAGAACGTCAGGTGCCTGAAGGTGATTAAATGGGTGGTGCGTCGGCTCCTCAGTACTATGTATGAGGTAGCCATTTCGTATCACATGGTTGTACAGTCGGATCCCACTGGTGGAATTCAACCTAGAATGCCATGCTCGATGTTTGCAGTTGAAGTCCCCTGCCACAATAAGTGGACCCGAGTAGTCTAAAAGGACTTCCAGATCCGCCTCTTGCAGCCTGTTACCACACCTGACATACACCGATGTGATTTTTAACGGCACACCTCCCGCCATATTGACCACCACGGAAGCCGCTTCGATGCTCTGCATGTCAGCGTTTGTGCTTCTGTGGTAGTCAATACCGCGTTTCACTAGCACTGCCAAGCCGCCACCCCGTCCAGTCAATCTATCAGCCCGGATAACATCGAAATTCGGGAAAGCTAGACGATCTCCCGGATTAAGTAATGTTTCCTGCAGCAAGGCCACATCTATACTTTCGTCCACAAGAGCTTGATGAAATTCCCGTCTTCTGGGAATGTCCCTTAGACCCAAACAATTCCAAAAAAGAATTTTGATAAATGCAGGCTGTCGTCGATTGTACCTAGCCATTTGCAGGAAAGATCGCCTGCAAAGCCTGTGTTGCGCTAATCAGAGGACCTATGATCTGCTGTAAGGACCTTAGCGCGGTTGCCAGGTCCACATTTTGCGTGTTCGCAGAAGATCCCACAGAGGGGGCAGCCCGGGTTGCATCCCTAGCTGCATCCGCGTAACTTACATTGCGCCTTTGCGCTATCACTTGCAGATTTTTCTTAGGGGCAAATCTGCAAGTTCGGCTATTCGCTGGATGCCCCCCTCCACAGTTCGCGCACTTTCGTTCCTCTTGTTCTGTTTGAGGGCATAAGTGGGTCATGTGGTCAGGGGCACATTTTAGACATTTAGGTGGTGCAGTGCAGTAAGATTGCGCATGCCCATATTTTTGGCAGCGGTGACACTGCCCGATGAGTCTCGAGTTCTTTTGAACTTCGACTCGGATAGCCAAACCTAGCAGCTCGTGTTCGTTGAACAGCTGCTGAGATTTTTCTATCTTGGGCAGTATGACTACCACCAAAGGCATGGGCACGCCGCCACCGCGTTTCAGGCGAATTATGTGCAGGGGGGAATATCCCCTCTGTTGCAACTCTTCCTTGATCTCAATTTCCGAAAGTGTCGCATGTACTCCTCTGATTATAGCATGAATGTTCCTCTCGGAGGGTAGAGGGAAAGTGTGATGGGGCACCTCTTCCTCCCTGAAGAGACGAATAATCCTGCGGTAATCATCCTCGGACTTGGGAATTATCCTTATTCCTGCATCGACGGCAACCGCGCGTTCGAATTTGATGCCCAAGGAAATAAACTTGTGATTTACGCCTCGCCATCTCGAAGCATCGCGAAGAACGATGGGGGTAACACGTACCTTGCGTGGGGGCTGTGCAGTCGTGTCTTCTGGTACCTGAGATGTCGAAGGCGTGGAAGTAACCGATAGATTAGGCACAGGCTGTTTATTCGAGTCGCTTGCAGTTGAATGAGATGTTTCAGACTGCGATTTTGGTGAAGGGAGAGGAGGAAAGCCTGTCGTGTCGGTCTTGTTTCGTCGCGTTTTACGGGGCTTAACCTTGGTAAAACCGTCAGGGAGTGTATCGTCGTCTGTGGAAAGATCGCTTGAATTATTTAACGGTCTCTTAAGATTGACAGCTTTGTCTTTACTGGGATTTTTGGGAAGTGTTTGGGAAGAATTTGTAATATTTAGATGGGAAGGTACCTGGGTTTTCAGTAGGAGGTCTAATTTAACTGTTAGGTCGGTAATTGTCCGCTGCTGGGCTTCGATGATCATCATCAATCTTTCATTGGTCTTCTTATCATCGTCCTTTTTTGACAGCTCCTGTCGAACCATCTCCAATTCGGCTCTCAGCTCCTCTATGGTCTGCTCCTTCGACTCCATCTCCACTGCCATGGTGGAAGCGCCATTTCCTGACCCCCCTGGGTCAGTTTCCATATTAAATACCTCGGTTATCTCGCTTTTCGTCTAAAAAATTTTCCGGATCGAAATTACGGGACAGCTGCTATCAGTGCCCTATACAGGGCGATTACGTATACGGTTCGATCGGTATATTTCTATAAATAAATAATTTACTTATACAGGGTCAGCAAAGCAAGTCATGTTTTTCAGTAAAGTTCAGATACTCAATTTTTGATGGAAATTTTTCTATGCATCTTTTCGATCTTTGAACTAAAAAATGTAATTTCTCAAATTTTCTGAAAATTGGCTATAACTTAAATTGTTGAATTTAAGAAAGTGTTACATTTATCCCTAAAATCCCTTTTTTGGGCTTTCTGTTGAGAATGGGTATGTTTGGTCACACTGTTGCATAAAAATTTGATAATTTGACTTACAGCGAAATTTCGAAAAATTACTTTTTTTAAAAATTGAGAATTTGACGTAGACGAAACATTGATAAAAAACCTGACTTTCCTTGCTCACCCTGTATAAAAGAAATATACCGGTCAGACCCTGTACGTGTTCTGTCACTTTTTGAGGATGAATCGGCTGCTCTTGATACTCACGGGGATTTTCGTTCGCCCAGATGCGGCAGTTTTGCTTGTTTACCGTCCCATTCAAAGTGAAATGCGCTTCGTCGCTGAACATGATTTTTGATGAAAAATTGGCATCAATTTGGCGGTGTTCAAGGAGCCAATCTGAGAACGTTCGGCGCGAAAAATGGTCGGCCCGACGCAGCTCTTGCGTCAATTGGATCTTGTAGGCGTGTACATTCAAATCCTTGTGGAGAATGCGGAGCAAACTGGTTCTCGAAATGCCCAATTCTTGGGATCGACGCGTTGTTGATTGTTTCGGATCGTCTCTCACACTCTCCTTCACAACAGCAATATTTTCCGATGTGCGAACGCTCCTTGGCCGGCCAGAGAATTTACGCACCAGACGACCGATGGTTGTTTCGTTTGGGCGGTTGTTGCGACCGAAATGTTCACGAAGCGCGCGAAACGTGTTTTTTATTTTTGCACCATTTTTGTAGTGCTCTTGAATAACATTAATGCGGTCTTCAATCGAATACGACTCCATAGCGATCAACGGTAAACATTCAACTAACAAAATGACACGTCGGTGACAGAAAACGAAGATGGCGTCTATGTCAAATTGACGTTTACTTTCCTGCGTCCCTATTGGACAACCCTTTATAATGCTTTGTTACTCACCATTGCAAGAATCTGCGTCCCTCATTCCATCCATGCATTCGCAAATCATAGCCTCGTCCTCTCCGCCATTTTTGTTCCTATTGTTGTTATTGTTGCCGCCGTTGTTGCTGTCACCGTTTGATTTCGATGTGTCTGATGGTTGCGTGCAGGTAGCTCCATCCACACACTCTTCATCTTTCTCGCAACGATGGTTTGGCGCTGAAAAAGAGTTTAGTTTTGGATCAATGCATACCCGAAAGCACAGGCCTTTTTTTTTTTCAGGCCTGATGAAATACAAGACTAATCGAACTTCAAAGAGGACAAGAGGTTCCACAGGGTGAGTCTGAAGTGATTGCATTTCTGTAAGACAGTATTTAAATTAACAAAAAATTGACTTTATCTAAAGTATAGGACCCAAAACAAATGTAACTTTTTCTTATTTGACAAATTGCAATAATAAAGCTCAAGTATACAAGACTATTAACCCAAAAAAATGCGAGCTTAGCACAAATAGCTGAAGGAATTATTCTATTATGCTACGATTAAATCTATATTTCCTTGTATAAAAATATCGTAAACGCGTGCACTTGAGGCAGGTGGTATTTGCATTACGGATATCGTGATTTCATAGCCTCAACATGGGCGTAATCTCTCACTGCGATCTGACATAAATAGTGTGCTAATACAACAATTACTGTGAACTTGCCGCAAGCTGCCGGCGCCCGATAAAGCGGAGGAAAGGGAGTTAATATTTCAGCCTGCAAAATTACCTCGCATACTGTATATTTATTAACCGCGGCAGCTCAGGAGCAATAATGTGAGGAAATTTTTGGTAACGGCATTTCGTATGTATACAGGGTGTCCCAGAAGTCGACGTCAAGCCGAAACCGGGTGATAGGCAAAGTCATAACAGCTATCAAAAAAATATTTAAAAAATTTTATGTATGTGTTTTGAAAATTATAGGTCTTTGAAAAAAATATAGAAATTTCACATCATACGGCAGACTGTCAACTCCTGTTACTACAAATATGAACTTTTTTTGGATTTTATTTTTACAATGTAATGATGAATAATGCATCTTCAAACTGGTGTCTCAACCTTACTGCCAACTTTTCTCGTTCAGGAAAAATTGTCACTTATTTCCCAACCAAGTATTCCAAAGTAAAACTTTGCTGAACTTTAACTGGCTGTACTGGAAAAAAATGTACTACGAGAGTTTGGCAAGTAACCTTAAAAGTTGGCGCATTTAATAAGGATTCCAAAATGGTATAATACTTAGAAGATTACTCGTTAACTTATGCACAATTTTTATTTGAAGAAAAATTGATGTAAATTTTTCAAAATTTCCTAATTAAACAGCGATTATGAAAACGCACAAGGACCCTCAAGGATAACTGTTTGCACAACAGTGGGCGTCAAAATGCTGCTGATGATGATCCGTACCACATACAGCGTGTTCAACCTCTAGTGCCCCGGGATTATGAGCCCCGAGTTGCTTTTTGTCGCACAATGTTAGAAATACACAGGAAAGATCCACAGTTCTTTGAAAAAATTTTATGGTCGGATGAGACCACATTTAAGAAAGATGGGTACATGAACCTGCATAACTTACACGAGTGACACGTAGCAAACCCACATTTGATGAGAGAAGATAAATCTCAATATCGCTTCAAGATAAACCATTGGACAGGAATTTTAAATGGTAAAATAATCGGTCCGTTTGAGTTCCCAGAGACTTTGACTGCTGAAGTTTATTTGGATTTTTTGAAAAATCAAGTACAAAATTTATTGGTGGACGTGCCACTGAGTATTTACAGGGACATGTGGTTTCAGCATGATGGCTGCCCAGCGCACTATGCACTCTCAGTGAGAGAGTATCTCGATTAAAACTTTCCAGGCAGATGGATAAGGCGGTCTGGTACAATACCGTGGCCAGCCCGATCACCTGATTTGAATCCTTTAGATTTTTTTACTGGGGAACTGTAAAAAAAAGTGTATTTCAAGCCGATTCAAAATGTAGCTGAGCTACGGCAAAGACTATTGGAAGCAGCTGAGTTTGTTAATAACCGTGGATTCGCTCGTTTAATAACCCGATCTTTTTTAAGAAGATGTCGAGCGTGTATTGCGGCTGAAGGAAAACAGTTTGAGCATTTGCTGTAAAGGTAAATCATCATCAGCAGCATTTTGACGCCCACTGTTGTGCAAACAGTTATCCTTAAGGGTCCTTGTGCGTTTTCATAATCGCTGTTTAATTAGGAAATTTTGAAAAATTTTCATCAGTTTTTTTTTAAATAAAAATTGTGCATAAGTTAACGAGTAATCTTCTAAGTGTTATACCATTTTGGAATCGTTATTAAATGCGATAACTTTTAAGGTTACTTGCCAAACTCTCGTAGTACATTTTTTTTCAGTACAGCCAGTTAAAGTTGAGCAAAGCTTTACTTTGGAATGCTTGGTTGGGAAATAAGTGACAATTTTTCCTGAACGAGAAAAGTTGGCAGTAAGGTTGAGACACCAGTTTGAAGATGCATTATTCATCATTACATTGTAAAAATAAAATCCAAAAAAAGTTAATATTTGTAGTAACAGGAGTTGACAGACTGCCGTAGGGTGTTAAATTTCTATATCTTTTTCAAAGACCTATAATTTTCAAAACACATACATAAAATTTTTTTAAATATTTTTCTGATAGCTGTTATGACTTTGCCTATCACCCGGTTTCGGCTTGACGTCGACTTCTGGGACACCCTGTATACAGGGTGGGCCATAAGAGTGTTGGCGTTTGAATTTTAAATTTCTCGGAAACGCGGGGCGCGGGTTGGTTGGGAGAGGATAAGCCGTTAGCCGCGCCGTTGCCTGCGAATTTAGTCGCCATGGAGCGCAGCATGCATTCCGTGTATGCGTATTATGAAAACGATAAATCGGTTATTACTACGTCAACCGAGATTGTTGGACCGTACTTTTTTTGGGACGAAAGAGGACAAGCGATAACAGTTAAGGCTAACAATTATTGCAATATGATAACAGACTTTTCGGTGCCAGCTTTGCAAGAATTCCAAGGCAATACCTCTAGAATGTGGTTTCAACAAGATGGGGCCACATGTACAGCTAGAGCTGCTGAAGACTCATTTCGAAAAGTTGGGACATTGAATGGCCACCACAAATCGGTGGTCTACGAGAACAAACCAACTAATTTAGAACAGCTAAAGAGGAATATTGTTCAGGAAAGTAACAAGATACCGACAACAACTTTTCAACGAGTTTTCCAACATCTGCAGCTTCGGTTTCAAGAATGCCAGGCGAAGTCATTTGAACAACATTATTTTTAAATCTTAAAAATTCCTATCTTTCTACTTTTTAAAAATCCATTTATTTTTCTTTTACATTGCGTAGTTATTTTTTAATTGAATATTGAAATTGCCAACGCCTTTATGGCCCACCATGTATATGGATTAGGTTGCTTGTAAACGGCTGAAAATGTCATTCAGACGTATTCTACGAGCCCACAAAGAGACAATAGTTGCATGTCAATGGTTTTGTGATATATTTTATCATTGGTGCACGTATATTTTATGAGAAGCTTTGATGATTCAAGGTTTCAGTCATTGAGTGCTTTGATTCAAGACAGAGATGCCTTATTTATTTATAGATAATCGCCCAATAGACTAATCCAAGGCAATACGTAATGGCAACTTAACTAATAGTGCGCATATAAGAACGGATAAAACGAAAGTAAAAAAAATGGGTATTATATACTAAGTGACATATGAATCCGAACACCCAGTTTAAATGGTTTTATTTTAATAAAAGTTGGTGAATGTATTTATCTTACTGTAAATAACAAGTGACAAAATTTTCAGCCTTATCAGTTGGACATTCCGGTTTTTATACTGCTTTTTTTTAATTCACTAACGATCTAAAAATGAATATTTCAGCCGCAGTAAAGAATAAACGTTGGCGGATTTTGGTTCTTCACATCCTTTACGATCGGTTACGGAGACCTGTACGATTTCGTCAACTTAGTGAGTTTGATAGAGGCCGTATAGTGGGACTTCGGGAAGCTGGACTTTCTTTTCGGGCAATTGCAGTTAGAGTGCAAAGAAGTGTAGACACTGTGGTTAGGTGTTGTCAGGCATGGCTTCGAGAAGGCCGTACGCAAAGTGCAAGAGGCACTGGACGCTGCCGTAGAACAACATACCGTGAAGATCGCCGCCTAAGATTATTGGCCTTAAGGGACCGTTTCTCCACTTCCAGGTCCATTGCAAATGAATGGTTTGCAGAACACGGAAGACCTATTGGCATGCGAAGTGTTTACCGACGAATGAGAAGTTTTGGCTTGTTTTCATACCGGCCACACTGGGTCCTCCCTTTAACTCGAGAACACCGACGTAATCGCCTTGAGTGGTGCAGACAACGGTCACTCTGGGATCAGGAATGGAACAGTATTGTCTTTAGTGACGAGTCTCGATTTTGTTTAGGCATGCACGATGGTCGTGCCAGGGTTAGAAGGCGACGTGGTGAAAGGAGGAATCCACAGTTTTTTGTTGAAAGACATGTTCATCAGACTGTTGGAGTTATGGTTTGGGGTGCTATAGCTTATGGTTCCAGGTCACCTTTAATCTTCATCAGAGGTAACATGAACGCGCAGCGTTATAATCACGAAGTTCTAAAACCCCGTATTTTCCCTATCTTAACACCCTAGCAGATCCAACTTTCCAACAAGATAATGCCCGACCACATGTTGCAAGAGTCACAATAGACTTCTTTCAACCTAACGATGTCACATTGTTACCATGGCCATCAAGATCTCCCGACGTATCCCCAATTGAGCACGTGTGGGATATGATGGGTAGCAGATTGCTCAATTTGCAACGTCCTCCTCAGACTCTAGAAGCACTTCGAGAGGAGTTGGTGGTTGCCTGAAATGAGATACCACAGGAGGACATTGACCACCTGATCAGAGGCATGCCTAGGCGCGTTGGAGAATGCGTAGCACATCAGGGTGCATCCACACATTATTAAAGGTCAAAGGGCTTTAAAGCAGTGCAATCATTTTGAAATTTTTATCATTTACTTATTATGCTTCATCAAGTACTTATACAAAATTTTATTCAAATAAAACCATTTAAACTGGGTTTTCAGATTTATATGTCACTTAGTATAGTAGTCCCTAAAGTTTGACAAATGCCTACTGGCCCAATCGAAATTAATGACCGAAATGTGTTATGAAATTATAATTCAAAATAAAATAGAAGGCCTTGGTACCAACTTGACCTTTCTTGGGAGATAGTTTATCAAAGTTATGTATTAAAAGTTCCTTTTTACCGTTTGTGAGTGTTGAGAAACGGAATTTAGCAATGACGAGTACGTCATTATTTTTGTGTACGGGGGTTCTGTAACGGAAAAGCTTTAGCGGCCTTTCCGGAGTATCAACGAAGATTTCCTAACAGACGAGAACCTACCCCATTTCTAAGACTTGTCAAACTCACCGTGTATGATGTTAAATTTTTAATCACGACTTATGAATAACCCTGTATAATATGCATAGAATAAAAAGAGTCCTTATTGATGTGTTTGTTGGAAAAGCTGGCAGATCAGTTTTTTTTAAAAACGCTCAGACTCGTCGATTTTGTTTTCGATGGGGACACAAGTTTGGCGAAAAATCACGTCAGCACGTACAGCCCCCTAAGCGGGGGCGACACCACCCCCAAAATCTTAAATGGAAAGGGGGGTCGAGTGATACCTTATTTTAAATGTCTTTCAATTCGCTTTATAATGATGTGTCACTAGTTTTGAAGATTTAATAATTTGAAGCTTGAAGTAGACTTTAATAGGTACATACTATGTACTAAATTCCTATTTAAAATAAGTATGAGATATTTCCGTACCTTTCTTCAAGATATAACTTTTATGCCACAAAAAATGCTCCGATAGCTATTTTCAACAACAAAATGATAAACAAACCATGGGCGTAATGAAGAAAAGCATTTACTTGTTAAGTAAATTCTTTTAGTCAAATTTCTTCTGAAAGTAGTACAAACTAATCTTATGTACCTATTAAAGTCTACTTTAAGCTTTAAATCAATAAATCTTCAAAACTAGTGAACTGAAGCTCATGTATTTTACATCATTATAAAGGGAATTAAAAGACCTTTAAAATAAGATATTATTCGACCCCCTTTCCATTTAAGATTTTAGGGTTGGTGTCACCCCCGCAAAGGGGGCTGCACGTGTTAACGTGATTTTTTGCCACACTTGTGTCCCCCTCGAAAACAAAAAACCATAATCTTCCTTGTTCTCTCCAAAACCTCATCATTTATGGAATATTCAGAGGTAATCGAGTTCACTCTTCGACCATACTGACAAACTTTATACTTGGAATTGCTTAAGAAGAGGTTATATAATCATTTGGTACTTACCTTTTCTGATAGCGCTGCATAATCCATTAACAGGATGCGTATTGTCGCCGCATAAGCAGAATCCTCTAAGACACGTCGTTCCCTTGATAAATGTGCAGTTTACTTGGTTAGTGCAGGGCTTTCTCACTCCTGAAATAAATGATCTTCACGGAACCCATTACAAAATTTAAATCTTATCTAGATAAGATGGATAATAATCATTTATACGCTATGTTTACGTAACTTTAGCGAATAAATTCAACAAACCGCAACAGGATAGTATTTACAGGGTGACTTTGAAGTTGAGTCATTAATTTTCAGATAATGATTGTAGAAGGAAGATAAACCAAAATATGTGTGTAAAAATAAAAAAATAAAAATAAAAAAATGTCACCTTGTTTTATAAAGTATCCTCCCGACAAGTTTTCTGTATTTGATCGTGCGGTCTTGGAGCACCGGCATACCGTCCCCTGTGAGGTCTTAAGTCACCTGATTCACGAGCCCGTTGTACTACATTAACAAAGGCACGAGGGGTTGATTGCGCTCGATTGGGGAACCGATCCGCATAAACATGTGCAATTTTTTATTTCGTTTGAGCCGCGCAGCAAACACCACTATTCACTCACGCGTTACCGACTGACACTGACTGTATACAACTGAATAAAATAATTGTAAAAACATCGTTCGAAATTCTTTCGCTTTTTTGTTTCCGATGCGATGAACCGATAAGGCGGATTATATCCGTTGTTGCCAAACACGAGCACATAATATTATTATTGAGACAGGGCGGTACTCAAACTTCCAAAGGGCTATAACTTTGTTACTTTTTTTACCAGAAAAATGGTAAAGGAAAAAAACATTTCTTTTGATCACATCTACTCACTGTTAAAATAAATGACTCAACTTCGAAGTCACCCTGTATGTGCGGTACTGTAAATAATTTTAATAATCGTTGAGATTTGGAAGTACATATTTTAGATCTATTCAGAGATAATGGAGTATATGTTGACCTCATACTACCTACTTTTTTTATATAAAAATCAAAATTTTGACAAGGTCATTATTTTCAATATGAGTAAGAGTATCTTACTACATTATGATTATGGAGATTTGTTATCCAATCTTTTATTAATATTTTGAATGTGTGTTTTTCATATTTAATTCTTTCTTGTGGTACATAGTTGTATACGAGTATCTTTTTTTTTGTGACAGTAGGCAATTTTGAGCATTTTGCTTCTTGCATTATAATAAGAATCAACGTTGGCAGATTTTGGTTCTTGACATCCTTTACGATCGGTTACGATGCCTAGAGTACGGAGACCTGTACGATTTCGTCAACTTAGTGAGTTTGATAGGGGCCGTATAGTGAGACTTCGAGAAGGCCGTACGCAAATAGCAAGGGGCACTGGACGCCGCCGTAGAACAACAGACCGTGAAGATCGCCGCCTAAGATTATTGGCCTTAAGGGACCGTTTCTCCACTACCAGGTCCATTGCAAATATATGGTTTGCAGAACACGGAAGACCTATTGGCATGCGAAGTGTTTACCGACGAATGAGAAGTTTTGGCTTGTTTTCTTACTGGCCACACTGGGTCCTCCCTGTAACTCGAGAACACCGACCTTGAGTGGTGCAGACAACGGTCACTCTGGGATCAGGGATGGAACAGTATTGTCTTTAGTGACGAGTCTCGATTTTGTTTAAGCATGCACGATGGTCGTGCCAGGGTTAGAAGGCGACGTGGTGAAAGGAGGAATCCACAGTTTTTTGTTGAAAGACATGTGCATCACTCTGTTGGAGTTATGGTTTGGGGTGCTATAGCTTATGGTTCCAGGATACCTTTAATCTTCGTCAGAGGTAACATCCTCCAACTTTCCAACAAGATAATGCCCGACCACATGTTGCATGAGTCACAATAGACTTCTTTCAACATAATGATGTCACATTGTTACCATGGCCACCAAGATCTCCCGACTTATCCCCAATTGAGCACGTGTGGGATGTGATGGGTAGGAGATTGCTCAATTTGCAACGTCCTCCTCAGACTCTAGAAGCACTTCGAGAGGAGTTGGTGGTTGCCTGGAATGAGGACATTGACCACCTGATCAGAAGCATGCCTAGGCGCGTTGGAGAATGCGTAGCACATCAGGGTGCATCCACACATTATTAAAGGTCAAAGGGCTTTAAAGCAGTGCAATCATTTTGAAATTTTTATCATTTACTTATTATGCTTCATTAAGTACTTATACAAAATTTTATTAAAATATAACCATTTAAACTGGGTGTTCGGATTTATATGTCACTTAGTATAGTTGAAACGGCGGTATTGAAACTATTCGATCAGAGCTAAAGTGTGTCACACCAGTCATTAGTGTATGAGTGATCTTCAGACAAATGTATTTGTAGACGTGTTAGAACACATTATACATATTTAACCTAGCGTCTGAAGCTTATCCTGTGGTTTTCATAGGTGTCAGGAAATTGCGAGTATACCTCTCGAAAAAAATGTGGATTCAAGTCACTCCATGTAAAGAGAACGTACACTTATCCGAGAAAGAAATATTAAATAACAGATTTGCATTGTTGATTAAACGTTGATTCGGAAAATTCTTTGTATTGCTGAGCATGTGAATCCTGGAGTGCTTTGGGTGTTGTCAAGTGCTACGTGTAGCAAAACGGCTATTTCTGCGGCTTCATTTCTAGCTGGTCGATTATCTAGATGACGATTACAGCGAATGCTGGACACAGATCCCGTTTCTTCAAATTTTCTCATCAACTTGTCTACTATCGGTCATATTTTTGTCAGGATGTAACGCATTAACAACCGGGCAGTAGCGCTTGCAATGCTCCCATTTTGGTAATACAGTTATTTCTACCCTTTCTTAAATTGAATAAGTTCAATATGTATCACAACTGCGTAGGTAAGTGAACAGTTTGAAATGAAATACAAAGTTTTTCTATGACATACGATGACACTGACGCTAAATGTTCTTGCTGGTATCCATGATTATTATTTTTTGATTGATGTATATATACAGGGTTATCCAAATTAAGTGTCCACCATTAGTAACTTTGTTATTAGTGAAAATACAAAGTTGTTTGAATTAGCAAACTAGTAGCATTTTTAAAGCTGGTAAAAATGAGAAATAAAAAAAAACAATTGAGAGTCGTTATTTTGATTTTTTTCAGTAAAATAACATTTTTTTAAATGGAAACCCCTGTATATTATATTTTTTTCTGTTAAAGCATCAAATTTTAAACAAAAAAGCTTACAATAACTTTTCTCCTAGGTTACAAATTGTTGAAGTTATAGCCTCCAATCTGAAACAATTAAATTGTATCGACAAACTTTATTTTCAACATCAACTTATAATCTTACAAAATACAATAACAATTTTTTTTAAAGAAGATGCTCGAAAACACCACCTTGTTCTTCAATACATTTTTGGGCACCTTTTTCAACTGCTCGAACTGTCTTAAGTATGGTCCTACCATCTATCTGGGTTATCTTTTCCCTAACTGCAGTCTTTAACGCGTCAAGGTTATCGTACCTTCGCTTGTAAATTTGGTTCTTTAAGTAACCCCACAAGAAGTAATCAAGTGGGTTTAGATCTGGTGATCTGGGAGGCCACTGTATTGGGCCATTTGTTCCTATCCACTGATCATTAAAAGTAGTACTTAGAAAATGATAAGTACCTCTGGAGTTGTGGGCAGGTGCGCCATCTTGCTGAAAATGCAGATGATGTCTACTTATAAGATCCAATTCGTCTAAGAAATTAGTCAGAATTTCTGACATAAATTCCACATATCTTTCACCAGTTAGGGTTCCCTCATAAAAGAACGGGCCAACAATTTTTGAACCAATTATACCGCACCAAACGTTGAAACTGAAACGGACTTGTGGGCCTCTTGGATGTACTAACAAAAGATTTTCTCTTGACCAATAATGGTGGTTTTTTCTATTAAACATTCCAGAATTTGAAAAATTTGATTCATCTGTCCATAAAAGGTAACGAAAGTTATTTACATTTTGGCGACAGAAGCTAAGATACCAATGGCAAAAAACAAGTCTTCTCTCTGGATCCCCTGCCAAAAGCGTTTGAACTGGTCGGTACTTATACGGAATAAATTTGTATTTTTTTAAAATCCTTTGAACAGTACCATAACTGAAATTAGAGTCCTTGAGAATATCTGCTATTGAATTCTCACGATAAGCTTCAAAATATCCAATAACTGCAATTTCCGTGGCCTCGCTTATTATGAATTCTTTTTTTGCCCTTGTTTTAGCAAAAACATTTTCGTTGCCCCTAAATTTTCGATAAAGTCTCAGAAAATATCGTTCATACGGTTGAATGCGAGCGGGATATAATTCACTGTAGTATTCTCTTGCTCTCAAGGAGGATTTTCTGCACACTAAATAGCATTCTAACATATCACACTTTTCTTCATGGGAGAACATTTTTCTTTAAATTAATGACACAATAAAGCTTATAAACAAGTATTTACACTAATGTTTGACATTATTTGATTTTATCATTGTTTTCCAAAGCCTTCTAGTTGCGAGTATGTCCAGTTTAACAATTTGTCGCTTATCTTAATGCTGTCAAATCGCGAACGCCATGTTGTTTTCATAGCCGTCTTAATATTATAATACTGCAAATAATTAAAAATATTTATCGTTATTTTGACTTTATTTTTGACTTTAGCGGAAAAGTCATTATGAATTTTTTTGTTTAAAATTTGATGCTTTAACAGAAAAAAATATAATATACAGGGGTTTCCATTTAAAAAAATGTTATTTTACTGAAAAAAATCAAAATAACGACTCTCAATTGTTTTTTTTTATTTCTCATTTTTACCAGCGTTAAAAATGCTACTAGTTTGCTAATTTAAACAACTTTGTATTTTTACTAATAACAAAGTTACCAATGGTGGACACTTAATTTGGATAACCCTGTATATGTATAGTAGATATGGTATATAAATACGTATCAATAGTTATCAGATATCAAACCTACATCTTTTTGGTAAGAGGTTTTTTCGTATGGGACATACAGAGTCAATCTACTTGACGTCATTTTTAAGCGAAAATAAGTGGATGAAATACGATTAAATTACAACCAATGTTAGCGGAATAATTAGTGTCTTCGG